CCAACTAATGAGAACCTAGTGGGAATTCTCCACTTGGAACGAAGCTCCCTCCATTGTGGTAGGCGCCTACTACAGCCAATGGCCCGCAAGTTCCACAATAGCCGGGCTTTCGGGAGTATATGCACTCCGGTAACTTACTATACTAGACTTGAAGGCTGCGTGGAAGACGCAACATTAAAAAGGGAACTCCACGGTGAGCTTCTTCCGCCTTCCAGACGGCTCTCTAGCAAAAAGGACTGGATGACGGTGCACTTTTCTCGTCTGGCTTTTGCTCTCCTGTTTACTTCTCCCCAACACATTGAATATCATCCCACCGAAGACGAAGACGAAGAAGAAGGTTCGTGTACAATGCTCCTTCCGGCCCATTTCGACCACCGTGCTAGGCTTCAAAATTTCCATGACTTCCTGACTGAAGAAAGCCATCTTGATAGCCATTTCTCTTGTTTATTTACTAGAAAACAACCTTGTCCACTGTTACGCAATCCTCCGTTTTGCAAACATGAGTACGCTGTGATTGATGCAGTGCGTTCAGGATACTTGATTCCGAGGAGCAAAACTTTCCTCAATGTCAAGGTCCTTTGATGCATATTTTTGCTAAAAGCTTGCGGATTCCGTTGCAATACTAAATCATTCTCTTGATGCAGCCAATTAAGTTTCATTACAAACGCAAAACAAACACCAGATCATATCTTCTTACGGAGACTAATAAAAATAAATAAAATAAACGTTGAGTAATGTCTTAGTTATTAGGAAAGATTGTCATGGTTTAGCATGACAGTTTTTGGTAAATATAGAGGGTTTCTGAAGTCAATGGTACAGTGTTGGCTGTATTGTGTAGAGGCACAGTTTTTGAGACAGATACAACGAAATCTTCCAAATCCAATTAGGGGACAAATATTCATTCGCTTCTGTTAGCTCAAGGGGGAAATCAGAGCATTTGATGAAGGATTCATGCCTTCACCTCACCATGCCTTTCATGTGTATTTCTGATTGGCCTTGAGTTTAGGGGCTCAAAACCCACTGCACAAAATAGTAGTGCCTAGGCCTGCTTGCCCTAGATTGGCACTGCATTTGACCTAGTTTTGCAATATTTGGTGAGAAATTTAAAATGGGTGCAAGGGGGAGAGGAGGGCTGGAAAAATCCCACCCCAAGCTCTGAGCATGTGAAGCGGGCAGGTCGAAAGAGAGCAGCTGTTTGGCTTGAAGGCACGCAATAAATAAATAAATACATTACCCAGTAGGGTCTCTGTGTTCCCATCAGTTGCCAGGAAGATGTAATTTGACTTTTGGATGTCTGGCACAATCCTTTTGTTAGGCTTTAGCTCAACATGGTGTATGACAAGTACCTGAAATTCTACAGCAATTCAATAGAAATCAGCATATCCAGAGCCTAACTAGAACTAAGCCTCCTCATTCTCTATTCTATGTGTCAGTAATTATTATCACTATTATTTTTTTTAATATATGTATATTTCTAACTGCTAGGGTCCAGGTCTCAAGTTTGGAAGTTCTTGTCTCATGATTGTGCCTCCAATTAAAAAAATTGAGCATGAAATGGAGGTCAATCACAATCTAAACCATTGGGCAAACACAGAAATGAGATTGAAAGAAGTGGTTGCAATTATTAATTAAATTCATGTTTCTGCCATGGGCTTGATAGCATTGCTTAGCCAAAATCTCTGTCAATTGGCAAGGGTTGTTGGCTAAAGAAAAAACGAAGAGCCACCCAGTTGTCCTCATTATTGATCCAAAAGCTTGTCCACAAGTGACATTGTCTGAGAGGGACTAATTGTGCTCAGATACTTGTAAGACCTTGTTGAATGACAGGAGAGAGAAAAACAGAGAGATGATGGATTTTTATATTTTTTGAAATTTTAATGGGTTGGTGGCTTTGAATGCAATCCATCTATTAGACTTGAATGCGGATGAGCTCCTTTTGACTCCACAATGTCTCAAGCATGTATGAAGGAACCTTTAGCACAGCAATACATTGTCTTTTGAAGGCTAAATACCAGTCACCCACAGCATGCTACTTTGATTCAATTAAAAAAAACCACAATCCACAGGCACCTTACCTCATTTATAGTAAACTGAACATTATATTCAAAAAGGTCAGTGACTTGTAAGCCCCTTTCTCATAGTTTCCTTTCTTGAAGGAGAGAATGAATGAGGGACAAGGTTCTCAGTTATTGAAGCTAATGCAACAAGACACAGGCATCAACTTCTTTTTGCCGCAGCACACATTGCCTATATTTTAATAGCTCAACAAAATGGATGTGAAATTTGAAACTGAGGGGGGAATAACTTGTGTATATATTGTAGTTTTACTTTTTTTTTTACCCCCCCCCCAAGTTAACTGGCTTCTGATTTGAAGAGGAAAAATAGGTCACATAAGTGATAAAATTGGAAGATTCTATATGGAGAAATTGAAAAACCCTGGTGCAAGCAGCAGCATAAGTGATGATCCAAATTGCGACCTCCTGCATGGTAGAGCAATTAGGCACAACAAACACTCCACTGAAAAGAAAGGAAGACATTTCCAGAGGCTGGGTAGGCCACATTTTACAGTTATTGATGCTGGAGGGAGACTCTAGCTTGTGAGTGCAGTTAGACTCCTCCTTTTCTGTGTGCACAACACAACAATAAGTTTTGGGACCCAAAACAAACAAACCAACCTCACATTATTTTATTTTGCTTTCAAAAAACAAAAAGTGACAAAGGACGCCTAACTCTCATTTCTATCTATATTGGAGTGTACTGGGGTGACCAAGGGCATTGAATTTATGGCCACAGCAGTACAAAGTAAGTGCTCTGTATAATCAGGCTCTGTGACTGGTTGTGCTTGTCATGTTCTTCTTGACTCTAGCTGCCTTTCTTTGGAGGGAACACTAGGCTTGTCTCCTGGAGAAGAACATTAGCAGGAGTCCAGATTTTTACCTTGCCACTGATACAAAAAATCAAACTGAGACCCAAACAGGACATTCTTGTAATTATATTTTGATTCCATGGCACTTAAATAATTCTGGAGTACAAGTCTTTATTTCACTCATGTACATAATATGATATTTCTGCATGAAGAACATTCTTTTTCTCCAAAAATAATAAAAATAACTTGTCCACTTATTGCCTGATAAAAGGTGCCTTTAAAATGGAAGGAACTGATCCATATTTGGATGAACTTGAGCACACTCAAGGGTTACAAACTTTGCCAAAAATGTTGCTTGTTTGTTTCCTTCAATAAACATTGAAAAACAATTCTTTGAAGGGTTGATTTGTCATCATAAATCTTACTTTTTTGAATCCAATGTTAATCCATTTTCCTCTTTGGCCCATATTAGAACACTGGCACACACTGGAGTAGAAACAATATAATTGAATAATCTCAGCCATAATGTCAGTACATGAGTGACACATCAGTAGTGGGTGTGTGTTGGCATGGATAAACAAACAAACAAGGAAAATTGCTAAACAGAAGTAACCCATTCAATACATTCAATTAAGGTCCATGCAGACCTCATGCCTAAAAAGATACATACCAAACTAAGCACACAAAACAGATTTGAAGTATTCCAAGAATTGTGAGATTATTAGAGTGCAGTTCAAAGACCCCATCCCCTCCCCGTATAACATTACATGAGCAGGTGAAGCAGGTCTTTTGGCAGTCCCAAGGCTGCCGATAATACTACCAAGGTTTGAATGTAGCTCAGAAATGTGGTGTATTGTGGGCCAGAGTTGTAGCAAATCAGTGGGTACAGCAGCTGCTGCACAATCATGGAAAAGGAAGCTTTCAGGTGAAGAAGAGGTTCCATACACACACACATCCACACCCTGACTAGTGATCAGAGATACTTGGCATCTACTTTGTTGCTTCTGTTTTTCAGCCATGGATGTTGAGGAGCATGTTGGCTCTCTTCCACTCCACCCACCATCTGGAGTTGTGAATAAACATTTTTTAACCCTAAAATTGAACAAAAAGTTGAACTATTATAGTCATGGTCTCCATGAACCATAAACCTAGTCTTTCACTGTCCTTCTCATTTTTCAGTTTTAGTATTTTATGTATAAGGTAGAGCCTTGGGGTTTGTCACACAACTTTGTTAAGTCATGATCTTGTGTGGGTTTCCATACAATGGGTTTCAGTCTTCTTCTTTTTCTTTTTCTTTTTCTTTTCTTTTGGGCTTGATGTGCAAAAAGCTTCAGTTTAATGCATGCAGGAGGCTTTCTGTGTACAAAAAGACATGGGCTTCCAATTTTAAATAAGTTAGGAAATTTGACCATCCAACCACAAGATCTTGAATAACACAATATCGTCTTCTCTCTTTCTCTCTCTCTCGGACAAAGTTCAGCACTGATGATCTGATTATAGCCAAATTGTTAAGCTGATGGTAGTCAAATCAAAGGTTTCAGATTGTTTAAATCAGGACAAATAAGCCTGTTTACATATCGAGATAACCATCAAATATAGGTACGTCAAGCTACAAATCTCGATGAGCCATTTCGCTTTGAAGCAGTTCAAAAGATCTTGGAAGCATAATCTTTATGTTTAAGTATTTAAGCATGTTTGTTTGACCTCATTCAACCCACTTGCCCAGTCAAGATGGAAAATGCCGCTTCTCCTCTTTTCCATAATTAGAGACGTGACTCGTGTTAAGGTGAGCGTTGGGCAGCAAAAAGAGCTGTTGTGCTCAGAATATGTGCAAGTTGCAAGCGACTGCTCTGCAGCGGACTGATAAAAACAGAATGGTTTTGTCGAGCATTTCCAAAACAACAGTGCTACCTGTAGAATTTCGTGTAGTGAACTGTATCACATCCAGGACCCAAGCATTCAGGCCTGAATGCGACGGGGACTGACGAAGGTGGCTCGTTCAATCGGCGCGGCTGCGTGACAAAGTTATCTCATCCAGCCACGCGTGCACAAAACTCAAATGAAACAAACACTCGACTATGACGGGAGAATTTTGCAAAGCATTCTCTTCAACCTGAAAGATGGCAAACAAGAGTTAAGTAGAGAGCTTTGAGAATGAATCGTTTATTAAAAAGAAAAGGGACAGAAGACGAAGAAGAAAAAACCTAACTTCACTCTGAAAACAAATGTGGGTAAAATATTGAGCTAGCCCAGTAATATTGCTGGGGTTCGGAGAATCATTGTAAAGAACCTCCGCATGTGAGAAATCTTGGGATTTGTACTGCACTCTACAAGTACATGGCGGCGAGTGCCATTTACACTGTTAAGAAGAACACTAGATCGGTAATCAGCCTCACGCTGCTTGTGAGTAGAGTTCGAGCTATCGGCCACCGTCACCTTGTCTAAACTCCATTGCATTGTATTGCTCCAAACCCTGGCGGGACGAAGGACTACTACAGAATGGAGGAAAGGGGAGGGACTTCGATGCAGCGGCTGCAACTGATTACAGACCTAGTGCCGAGCTTGAGGTGTGAGGTGCTTGAAGGTTTGTGGGACTCTATCTTGGGATCTGTACTGCATTGCGTATGGGCGGAGGGAAGCGCTTTACATCGCGATCCTCGCCATAGATGTAGTCGACGTTAGTTGAGGTTCCGTACAGGGTAATCGTAGATAGCACCTGGGAGAACCTTGATCGCCATTCTCAGCAACAAGTTTCATCTAGATGGCCATCGTAATCGCCACCGAAAAACCTGGTTTTGTTACAAATGGTATGGTATAGACCTGTTAATGAATATGAATCTATATATATATATATATATATATATATATATATGTATATATATGTATGGAGCAGATATAACTACGTCAGTGGGTTTTAGGGGATCCATCTCGAATCTTCACCTCCCTGGAGGAATCAATCAGCGTTAAGTGATCCCGAGGAGGCCAGCCGGCGAGGGTCGACATTGTCCTCCGGCGGTTTTCGCGTACTTGTGTATACGAAATGGCGCGTCATTTATAAAATATCTGATACATGTACAACCCACGGTTCCATGAGTGCGGTATCTCAAAATGAAGCCGGTAGACGTTCCAGGAGCAACTTTTCAGAATGGCAGTTTCAGAGAGACACATGACCTGGCGACTTCTTGAGGTATAGCCCTAACGCCACACACTGCATGGACCCATAGACGAGGTCCACCGGTTGAAAGAATATTATGGAGGAGAATCAGGGTCCTAGCGAGAGAAGTTAGCACCTTCAGATGGAAAAAGAAAAACCCGATTTCTTATATTCTCATAGATACGCATTGTAGGGACGATTGTCGAGAGAAAATCCACAATGAAACCACTAAGTTTCCACTTACAACAAACGCCAAAGCTTAGAATAAGAAAAGTATTTGGTGATGTCCGTCAATCCCAGGTCCAGTTGCAGTTGCTCGTAGGAACCCACTTCCGCGACACCGAACCCAGGTGGAGTCACACCGTGAGCATCCCCCTCCCTGCCTGCTGTCTCCAAACCAAGACCATCGAACTGCCCAAAAAGAAAGCACAACAAACAAATAAATAAATAAACCGTCAGAAGTATAAGTGCTCTATACACAACCTGAACACGCGAATTCCTTCCTATGTCTTCAAAACTCCACGAGGATCCCTCAAAACTACTCAAGGCTTACTACCGATCTTGATGATCACACCACGATTCTTCTATGAGAAAATCTCGGTCAGTCTTGGTGACTCTGCGCTACGCTAAGTTAATAAGTCTGAGACCTTGCAGTAACCACTTCACCAGTGGAATCAGGAATCTCTCCACTTAAACCAGATTCTTACTTCTCTTGGGAGCATAGCAAAGCCCATCGATCCAAGGAGCGACCGCCTAGTGATCACTTAGACCTGACAAAGCGATTCAACGACTCACAAGTCACCTCACCCTTAAGCAAGGAGAACCGCAGCATTGAATCGAGCTCGACGACACCAGAAATGCATCTCCACCATCCCACCTACTCAAACCCATTTGCACTGATCTACCCGCGACCACACCAGTAGTTGCAGCGACAAACATCCACGTCGACACAACTTTTGAGAAAGCCTGAACTTGCACTTGCACTTGCTCTTCATCTGCGTCGTCACCAGACTTGCGCTGAAGGTGACGATCCGGTGGATCCCCATCCTCCCATGGGAAAGTCTCCATGAGCAGATTCGCACTGGTACACAGAACGAACAAAACAAACCTATTAGTGTTTTCGCATACTACACTTGGTAAAGGAGTCCCGAAGAGCAGATGCGCGGAGGCAATAGCTGATCTTGAAAGGTGAGAAGCATCAAGAAGGGCAGCTGGGCAGTACCAGGCAGAAGGTGCGCTGAAGAATTTCCTTCGTCGCAGTGCGGACACTGTGCACAATATATGGTCTGTATGAGAAGCCGCGTGGGGAGCCTACCACCGTGCGAGCACATCGAGCCTCCCTCTGTTCAAATATAGGTTGACTTGCCCTAGGGTAGTGTTCAAGGTGGAATAAGCATCAACTGGGAGTTAATGAGGTGGTCTTGGTTTGTAAATTTTAAATCCCAATTTGTGGCATGTGAGATTCACAACCTGGATACTTTTGCACATGCCATAGGTTGATGAATCTACTTGCTCACCTTCTGATGCCAACTTCAATTAATGAATGATTGTTATTATTATTCATCCTTGAATGCAAGAAAACAAGAAAGCATGTGTGTGTGTGCGTATAAAAATATATGTATGTATGCCAACAATAAATCTGAGAGCATAACACTGCTTGCACATATGCAACAGATTTCCATCAACTAGAAGCTTTTCATGTTGAAACCTTGCATTGGTTGGAACATCCATTTTAAAACCATTTATCTATAAACCAACAAGGACCTCTTCCATAAATACACTCTTTTTCTGTATAATAACTTATTTTATGGATCATCATAACCTCCATCATGCACACTACCAAACAAGTCTACATGTGGCTCTTGAATGAATCATAATTCTTGGTAATGTATCTAAACTGGACTCTTTTCTCCAACACTAACAATTCAGTTTTTTTTTTTTTTTTTTTTTTTTTTTTGTGTGTACTGGCTAAATCAATCCTCAATGGTTAATTTCAATAAAATGTTAGTCTATATTTAGAGTTGTCGTTTCAACATTTCAGAGTATAGCATCCGTGATAATCATGGACTAAAAACCATCACATGAATATACCAGTTAAAAACCCACTACAAAATTCAAAGCATGAGAAGGAAGAGAATGGGGGTTTAAGCTGGATGATGAAGAGGTTGGCCCTGAAAGCCAGATGAGGTCAATGCTTTGTCTGTGGATCTCAGCACCTCTGCCAAATTGGGTTGGCACTTGGCCTTTGCACAGCCCTCACTCAGATGGTGGGGCCTTGAGTGCTGCTGATAACCCAACATGAAGCCCCTGTCCTAAGCCATAATTTCCTCCTCATCCTATTATATCCCTCTCTCCATGACTCCAATGCCATTACCTTTGCAACTCCTGTGTATCTCCATCTCTCCTACTGCCCCACCATCTCTGCAAGCTGCCCATGTTTGAAGCATCTCATCACAGTAAGAAATATGTACTCAGCTGGTTGAATATGAAATCACAACAACAAGTGTGGTGAGAGATCCTTTTGGTCCACCCACATTGCAGCTACAGTTCCATGCTATCCACAAATTTTGAATGAGCCTCCAAGTGATGTGGATTATCCAATCTCTCAATAAGCTCCTGCCTTACCCTTTACTTTGCCACCCACATTTGGGAGAGAATTTCAGCATGTGAGAGGAAGTTGGGAAATTTGAGGTTGGGAAATAACTCTACATGAGAGTATTGACTCAGCACAATGTGCTCCCCATGAATTAGCATTCTCCAGAGAACCTCCCACCAACAACAACATGGCTTGCCATCATCAAACTCATCAAGCAACACATTACAAAACTTGTCACTCTCATCTTCAATCTTGCTGTAAATGCATCTCATTCTTTAGGGCCTTGTCAGAATTGCTATGCTTTTGTTCTACTCCTTCCTACCACTGTTTATTCTTTCTTGTAAAGAAAAACAATACAAGACCTAGGGCCACTGTGTACATTCACTGTTTGGTTATTGTACTTTGGGGGAATGGTCATCAGATAAAGTGCATGTGCTTGTCCACAGGCAGGGGACCTGACTTCAAAGGGACGTTCTCATGCTCTGGGTTTTATGAGCTCTGCTTCTTCAGTTCCAAGTGATTGATTTTTGGCTATGTTTGTGGGGAGGAACCACCAATATGTGCATCTGATCAACACTGTTCCCTACAAGTATCCATTGTACTGTTAAGGCATTGGATTAACAAACAAAAGTCCTTTCCAATCCTCCAATGTGTCCCGTTGAAGAGAAGCTTTGGCCAACCCCCTTGTACCTTTGTACCCCCCCCCCACAACAACTCTTTGTTTGTACTTTAAAAATGTTGCTCCATTATTTACCCCTTCTCTCCCATTTCTTTAATACTAATCCAATGATCCTGGCAGGTGAAGATAATAATAAAAACGGAATCATCATAGTGATGTAATAAAGAAACTTGTCTGCTTAGAAAACCCTTAGTTGCTTGCTCTTGGTGCACTTGCACTCCTTCAGTAACTCTCTCTTCTCTTCTCTTCATGGACAGCAAACTATTATAGTAGAGAACAGAATACAGTGGAAAATAAACAGGTAGATAAAACTGCCATAAACATGTAACCTGCCTCTTCTTCTTCTTCATCACATGCATTGAAAACATGCTTGAGGGTTGTACTGATAGTTAGGTGCCAACAGCACACACACACACACACACACACACACACAATAAGCTCTCAGTAACCTGCCCTTCCAACTTCTCTTTGTTGTCAAATCATACATTTTTTACAATCCCTCCCATCTAAGAGAAAAAGGAAGAGGAGCAAACAGACAAATATATATATATATATATATATATGGCTGCAGGGAGTGTGTGTTTGTTGTGGAGCATTGCTGGTTGGTCACAGAGCCCACTCAGTCTATCTCTGTGGAGCTTGAGAGAGTTAGCCTTTTTCTTCTTCTTCATGGTTGCTCCTGCTTCTTCACAGGAAAAGTGGGTGCCTCCTGTTTGGACTCTTCAAGAGGGGAACAAAAAGGGTGGTGCCCATTCTGATTCTGACCCACTGCACAGAGCTTTCACATCGCAAAAGAAGACCACCCATTGTTATTGAAACTATTGTTGTTGTTATTGGTATGTTAATGTTCATCTCTGTAACTCGTGCTTATAGATGCACTATGGGGATGTAAGGTCATTCCCCTTCCATCTCAATTTGATTATTACTATTTCCCTATTATTGGTTTCTGCAAAAAGGTGTTGATTCTTGGGTCCAGAAAGACTGACACAGAGCACATCTTGCCACTCTGATGTTTGACTCATAAATCTCAACCTCACTCTTGATACTACATTGAATAAAAACTCTGAATATTAAAAGGTACTTTAGATCAAATCTCAAGTTCGGTGCCTCCTTGGGATGTTATTTCTTACATTCTAAGTTAGTTAATAACTGTTGGATATTGATCCGTTGTTGCACATCTTATTGGTGTTGCAAACCTGATTTTAAAGTGAAATTTTATTTATGAAAGTATTCAGGTGGTAAAACATATTTTGTTCCATGCATTACAACAATAAAAACACAACTATGTTCATGCAGTATATTCTCATTTACAATAACATATTTTATAATCATTAAAACTTTATAAATGAATGAAATTTGATCCTTGTTTAAATTCCACTTAAAACAAAAATAAAAATCAATATATACATTTTAGACAGAAAAAACAAAATTGTATGAGTAGACTTTTTTTTTTTTTTTTTTTTTTCATTTCAGGAATACAAATACATTATTAAATAAAGCATCACTTGTCGTTTCACTTATTCAACATTTTTTTTTTTTTTTTTTTTTTTTTGTGCATTGATTTTTCTAAAAATTATTTCTTCATGTGGAGTGATAGATTAGGATTTATCGTGCATTACAATCCCACAGGCCATGACAACCTACAACACAACTCCCTCTTCTAACCATGCACTAAAGTTACATTATCTTATAAATAGAAAATTGAATGTGTATTTACCAGCTCTCCTATTTAACTGTTGCAAATCTTGGACTTTTTCCCATACATTTCATATTCACCTCCTAAGAAGAGTACAATACCTTTTATACAAGATAAATAATTATCACTCAAATTTTGGTTGTAAATTGTTATAATTATATTTTTGTACCGTTATCAAAACCGACCTCATGATCATATAAAACCACAAAAAGTAATTATAAAATGATAAAAATAAAATAAAATAATAGAATCCTAACCTGTGTTTTCAGTAGGATGCAAGATTCGAATGGCCTATTTCATAATGAATTCATTAACATTCTTAGAAAAATCATCTACTTATGATTAACACGTGGGAGGTAATTATTGCGTAATCACACAACCTAAAACCAAATTTCAACTAATTGTATTTTTTTTACTTTTTACTTTTTCTGGAACTAAAGTCGGGGAGTTTTCAACGCATGAACAAAACATTGATTCGAAATACAAAATTGGAAAATTCAAATAAACACGAACAGGATATTCCTTTGTCTCCCACTTCGCACTGAATTGTAACGTTGATGAGAAAGACTATTTTTCTAAACACCAAAGAAATATTCTAAACTACGAAGAGGAACCGAAAATAGAAGGTAAAGCAGGTCACACTATTCAGAGCGGAAGGTGCGTGTGGCTGTGACGTGGATCAGGGTTCGCAAGGGGGTGGAGGATGACGTGTGCCCTGCCTCCGAGCTGACTTGGCAATCTCGACCCCTTCATCGCAAGACAAGTGGCAGAGACCCATTGGGCGCGAGAGAAGCACGATGGGGACTCAAGGTAATTAATTAAGATCGTGGATGCGAGTAATTCCCACCGTCACGGTTGAAGGGGTAACTATCACGTACTTACCTCCGCCAGAATGACCTGCCTCACCCATCACCACATTATAGCCTTTTCAGTAAACTACTCCCATGGAAATATCAACAACCCCATTACTGATTCCTCACCAAATCTCGTGTTCCCTGGCTTGCAACGATTACACTTCATGATCTCATTCTAATATATTCCCCCTTTTTTAAATGATTATTCACAGTTTACTAGTTTTTGAAATTCTGAAGCTATGGCTCCCCCGTTGAATAACTCCCGTGTGTCTATGTGTGTGTGTGTGCGCGTGCTGTTGTTTGCACTTTGGCCTTCACCGCTTTTGTTTAGTTTAGTTGGCTGTTTTGCCTCATTTAGACCCCCCCCCCTCCTCATTTGAGAAGCTCCACTAGATGCTTCTAGAAAGCCCTGTAGTTGCCTTAAATTACAGTGAGAACGTGTTGCTTTTTGCCTTCCTGATTTTATTATATATATATATATATATATATATATATATATTTTTTTTTTCCCTGTTTTTTTTTTTCTCCTGATAACCCCGCTATGTCATGCTAATATGAAGAAATAAATAGATGCATCATTAATAATGCCACTGTTTTATAAAAATATTTGATCAGTCGAATTTAAGAGCTGGTGCAGTTCTAATTACGTCACAAGTTCTTCTTGTGTCATGCAAGTTCTTATTCCCTTTTATTTATTACAAATTTTATTGTTGTTTGTTGATCCATCTACTTATTTCAACCCACTTGCTCCTATTCTCACAATCGTTCTGGCATTACAATGCAAAGAAGAAAAAAGATAAGACATCTGCAAAGTGATCACTTTTATACATAGCTAATGTTGGACAATTGATATAATTAAGATAATGAATATATTTGTTCTTAAGATTGAATTGGATAGTGTCCAAGATGATGAGGGGCGCTCCATGAGCTCAAAGACTTCCAGACGTTTGTTATTCCAATGTTCTCCACTCCCGGAATTAGATCCCATCCTCGCAGTCTCCACACCCTAATCTCGCATGACAAGTAATATTGAAATAACAAATAGAAATGAAAACCCGGAGTAAATTGATAGATTAGAAATGGTGCAGAATGTGCTAATCCGGCCTAGTTATCAGCAGCAGCAAGCAGACCTTGCTTCTCTCCGCATGAAACGAAATTAGATACTTACTTGATACGAGCCACAGTGCTTAATAGCAAATTTGGTCATTGGAGTTTAATGGAAACTGCACTGTATAGTCGGTACCCCCAAGGAATAAAGCTCATTTGAAGGCTGAATTGTAGATTAAACAATCCCAATTATAGTTTCATCACAGCTAAACACAGCTTTTAATCCCCCCCCCCCCAATTTCCCCGCGCTTAATTTAACCGGGGCCTTTGGATTCCCATTTCATTTTATTTTATTTTTTATTTCTTAATTTCTCCCAGCATCCCACTTTCCAAATTTGATAGGGATCACGAATCCCCTTCTGGCCCAT